CACGTGGTCGGGGAATTTAGTGCCCACTCGTGACTTGCCGCTCACAGTTAATACTCGTTAAATTGGGCCTCGTGTACTATCAGCTGTTGGACGCTACCGCGCCATTGATGCTTGGCTTGTTGGCAGACGCGGTGCTTAATACCATCGGCATGCAAGCGTCACCGAATACCAATCGTGCGCAAAGCCTTTCAGGTCTCGCATGATGACCTTGTATCTGACCCCTGGTGGAGAGTGTTTACTGCGCGTCAAATGTCCAGGCGCTGCCAATACCGCACCCGTGGGACGTCTGCAGCCTCCTGCCGCCGCGCCGAACTCGGGATCGCCGTGACGGTGACGGGTGTCTGACGGCATCCGGGTCTGTGACGTCACGATCACCCCGCCGCAGGTGATCCTGGCCGCGGAGCTGCTGAAGAACGCCGACGAGCTGGTCCAGCAGAAGATCCACCCCACCTCCGTCATCGCCGGCTACCGGCTCGCCTGCAAGTACGTGTGCCGGGGCGGGGGAGACGCGTCGGTCAGGATGACCGCGGTGCCGGCTCCCGCGCAGCCGAGCCGTCGTTGTCCGTTATGCGGCGAGAGTTCTCAGCGTGACGTGTGTAGAGACTGGTGTCCACCCGGACGTGCTTCGTCACCGCCTGGGTAGCTGTACTAGCTGGACTCAGAGCTCAGCCGGCTGATGACGACTGCCAGCCGGCAGCGAGCCGTCTGTGCCGGCTGCTTGAGGCCCACAGATGCCCCGGTCGGGGCGGCCGTGACGTCACCGTCTCCTGACGCCCCCCCCCCCCCCCTCTGGTCCGCAGGGAGGCGTGCAAGTACATTACCAGCCAGCTGGCCATGCCGATCGCCCAGCTGGACAGCCAGAGCATCGTCAACGCCGCACAGACGTCCATGTCGAGCAAGATCATCGGCGCCGACTCAGAGTTCTTCTCGCGCATGGTGGTGGATGCGGCGCAGGCGGTGCGCATCAGCGATGGCAAAGGCGGCCACCGCTACCCCATCAAGGCGGTGAACGTGCTGAAGGCGCACGGCAAGTCGGCGCGCGAGTCGGTGCTCGTGTCCGGCTACGCCCTCAACTGCACGGTGGCCTCGCAGGCGATGGTGAAGCGGGTGGTCAACGCCAAGATCGCCTGTCTCGACTTCTCGCTGCAGAAGACCAAGATGAAGATGGGCGTGCAGGTGAGTGCGGGCCCCGCCGGTGGGACGCTGGCGCGAGACGGCAGTTCCTGGCAGGGCGACGGAGGACGGTTGGCGGAGTATGGGCCGCGCGCGCGCGCGCGGTGCCACGTCGGGCGCTGTCGCCGTGGACAGTCCAGCGGCAGAGTGCGGGACAGTGACAGGCGGTGAGAGCGCGCGGAGTCGTGCTCGCTGGGCGATGCTTTGACGCCGTGGGCTGTAATGACACTGAACCTGGAGGGAGAAGGGGGACCGGCAGGCAGCGAGCCCGGAATGGTCGGACGGGGGGGAGGGGGGGGGGGGGGGGCTCAGTCTCATAGAATATGAGTCTGACATACGCTAGCATGCTATCATGTTCATGCCTGCTGTTTAGAGGTGTTGCGTGCTGTCCGAAAGGAGTTCAGCTTTAGCGCCGTGTTGTTGCCAGTCAGCTTTAGTTAGGGATTCCAATGGCGCCAATGTGTTAGGGGCTATCGAGTTCTCACCGAAGATTCAGCCGACGCTTTTAAACAGTATTTTCGTCACACAAGCGGTTATCAGCCAACACTCCCACAGCCTGCTCCCCAGTCCGGCGTCTGAAATGCACTTAAACGCACTGAACACGTCCTGATGGGGCTGGTTATCACCTGCGTCGTCAAAACTGGCTCCAACAGCCGACTGGATCTCCATCAGCTGATGGCGTGAATCAACGGCGCTTTTGTTCCCTCTGCTCGCCTCCCAATTAAGGGCGTTAAACGAACGACCGTGGACAGAAAGAACGCTATGCTGGCGTGAGCGTCTGCCTGGCGCCTGTAACGTCGGCCGGCCGCCGCCAGGTGCTGGTCACCGACCCGGAGGAGCTGGAGCGCATTCGGCTGAGGGAGTCGGACATCACCAAGGAGCGCATCCAGAAGATCGTGTCGGCCGGCGCCAACGTGGTGCTCACCACGGGAGGCATCGACGATCTCTGCCTGAAGGTACGCGCGCCGGCGCCTCGTGCCGCCACACTTGGTGGTCTGCAGGCCGGCTGGCTGTCGGGGGCCGTCGCGGTCGCCGCAGCGCCTGCTTTAAGTCTGGCTGGCCCCACGTGCTGTGTGCGGTGTGTGGAGCTGTCGTAATGTTGGAGGTCACGCGTCTCGCAGACGCGCGGTGTCGGCTCGTGACGCGCCGTGTTGGCCGTCGGGCCGGGCGGCGTTTCGCTACCGGAGCTCGTGCTGTTGTGATGTGAGGGTGAGAGTGTGTGTGGGGGTGTGTGTGGGGAGGGGATTGGGATGTGTCGGGAAAACTGCGCAATTTGTGGACGTGCTGTCTGTAGCGGAACATAAATCGGGGGGGGGGGGGGAGGGGGTGACAAAAGAACTCTCGCGTACGAGAAGGAATGCTGCCAAGTCTGGAGCGGCGCATGCGCCGAGTTCTCATCTGCCGCCAGTCCTTGATCGACAGGGAACGGACGGAGTCCGTGTTGTGTCCGTTGGGTTTAGGGTCTGCGCTGTTTTGTGCGCGAGTGACGGCATGCTGCTCTTGAGGTGTTGTGCAGTGGTGGCAGTCATGTGCTGTGTTCGGGGTCCATGGCTGCTATGACTTGTGCTACCAGCGGTTGCTGTTCTGTCTCCCGCGCGCCGTGTCTGGCTGCCATGGTCGGCCACTCGGGTGCCTGAGCGCCGCGGTCGGTACCGCGCACTCTGCCAACCCCCTCTGGTGCTCGCGGTCGGCCACTCGGGTGCCAGAGGGTCGCGGCCGGTGCCGCGCGCTCTGCCAACCCCCTCTGGTGCGCGGTCGGCCACTCGGGTGCCAGAGGGTCGCGGCCGGTACCGCGCACTCTGCCAACCCCCTCTGGTGCTCGCGGTCGGCCACTCGGGTGCCAGAGGGTCGCGGCCGGTGCCGCGCGCTCTGCCAACCCCCTCTGGTGCTCGCGGTCGGCCACTCGGGTGCCAGAGGGTCGCGGCCGGTGCCGCGCGCTCTGCCAACCCCCTCTGGTGCTCGCGGTCGGCCACTCGGGTGCCAGAGGGTCGCGGCCGGTGCCGCGCGCTCTGCCAACCCCCTCTGGTGCTCGCGGTCGGCCACGCGGGTGCCAGAAGGTCGCGGCCGGTGCCGCGCGCTCTACCAAACCCCTCTGGTGCTCGCGGTCGGCCACTCGGGTGCCAGAGGGTCGCGGCCGGTGCCGCGCGCTCTGCCAACCCCCTCTGGTGCTCGCGGTCGGCCACTCGGGTGCCAGAGGGTCGCGGCCGGTGCCGCGCGCTCTGCCAACCCCCTCTGGTGCTCGCGGTCGGCCGCTCGGGTGCCAGAGGGTCGCGGCCGGTGCCGCGCGCTCTGCCAACCCCCTCTGGTGCTCGCAGTCGGCCACTCGGGTGCCAGAGGGTCGCGGCCGGTGCCGCGCGCTCTGCCAACCCCCTCTGGTGCTCGCGGTCGGCCGCTCGGGTGCCAGAGGGTCGCGCCCGCCGCCCGCCGCCACGCTGACGTCCGACGCGCGCCGTTTCAGTACTTCGTGGAGGCGGGCGCGATGGCGGTGCGTCGCTGCAAGAAGCAGGACCTGAAGCGGATCGCCAAGGCCACCGGCGCCCAGTTCGTCACGTCGCTTGGCCAACATGGAAGGTGGGTGGGCGGCCGCCGCGTGAGGCTCGCTGCCGGGGACGCCGTCCGCAGCCGGCGGCAGCACTCGTCTCAGCCGAGGCCGCGCGGGGGACGAGGTGATGCGTGCAGTGCAGTGCGGGAACACTGGCCAGCCTGTGTGCAGTTCAGTCCGATGCCTCGGCCTGTCTTGGTGATGATCACTGCGGCGCTGATCACTCGGTGAGGGTCACTGCAGGAAGGTGGAGACACCGGTGAGACCTGGCGTACGGTCTGCTGGCCAGACGTGGCTGGATAACGTGCTGGGGTGTGGGGCGGGGGGGGAGGGGGACACTAGTGAGACCTGGCGGACGGTCTGCTGGCCAGACGTGGCTGGATGCCGTGCTGGGGTGTGGGGCGGGGGGAGGGGGACTCTAGTGAGACCTGACAGACGGTCTGCTGGCCAGGCGAGGAGAGCTTCGACGCGTCGGCGCTTGGCGACGCGGCTGAGGTGGTCCAGGAGCGCGTCTCCGACGACGAGCTGATACTCATCAAGGGGTGAGTACCGTGCCGCCGGTCCAGCGACTCGAGTCCGTCACTTGTCTGGGGTGTCCTCGTGTCGAGCGTCGGAGGTGCTGTGCTCGCTTCCTAAACTAAATGTCGGTGGATTGAGGAATTAATTTGTACAGTCTCAAGAGCGCAAACACGGACAGAACGTCTCGCCTGTTCCCCTGGATTGCTTCGTTGCAAATGGTGTGCGCGCCGCGGCGTGTCTTTGGCCATTTTAGCTCACTGAGGCGGCAGCGACCGTGTCAGCGTCCTTTTGCTCTCCCAAATGTCGGACATCTCGCCGAGCATCGCTGGTGTCTGTCGTACACGTCTTCCCCTATCGCTATCCTGCCTCCTGCGTTATTTTGTTCGTGGGAGGCATGGCAGCGGCCATCGTAGCGCGCGTATACCTGGGCTGTCAGATCCCGATCAGGAGACGCTCCACATACACCACCACGCAGCGGTGGCGCGGCACCCGCGCCGGGCCCGGACGTGGGTCACCAGACATGGCAGGCTGGCGGCGACGCAGCGTCAGAGAGTGTATTCGAGGTCACATGTGTTGGGGCGGCTGAGCCTGGGCAGACTCGGCTCACAGCTGGGGCTGCCCACGGCGGCGGCAGACTCAGCTCACAAGCTGGGGCTGCCCACGGCGGCGGCAGACTCGGCTCACAAGCTGGGGCTGCCCACGGCGGCGGCAGACTCGGCTCACAAGCTGGGGCTGCCCCACTGGCGGCGGCAGACTCAGCTCACAAAGCTGGGGCTGCCCACGGCGGCGGCAGACTCGGCTCACAAGCTGGGGCTGCCCACGGCGGCGGCAGACTCGGCCTCACTAGCTGGGGCTGCCCACGGCGGGCGGCAGACTCGGGCTCACAAGCTGGGGCTGCCCACGGCGGCGGCAGACTCGGCTCACAAGCTGGGGCTGCCCACGGCGGCGGCAGAGTCGCTCACAGACTGGCGCCACCCACGGCGGCGGCAGCTGGGCGTCAACCACAACACACACGGCTAATCCAACTGGCCAGGCGCGAGAGGTGCCGTCACTCAATACCCTGCTAGGTACGCCACGCACTCGGCAGGATCGCGATGGCGCGTCCTCTGACCGCTGCTGGTGGGCGTTGTCCCGACACCTGTGGCCCGTCTCGGTAATCAATAGTTCGCGCACTATCCACTTCACTAAGATTGCTGAGCGAGTGCCCAGCGCGCAGTTCACGTTGACTCACTCTACCAGCGGTGCCCAAGGTCCAGTCCACGTCGGCTCACTGCCCGTGGAGTGCCCAGCGTGTGGTCCACGTTGGCTCACTCTCAAGAGTGCCCGACGCATGTTCTCCGTCTGGTCAATCACGATTCCCCGGCGTATCGCGGGCGTCGGCCCGTGCTTCCGTGAAGCTCTCGGCGTTTTGTCCGCGTGCGCTGATTTGCTCTGGCAGCGCGTGACGGTGAACTCCGGGTCAGCTTACTTGCCCAGGCCGGAGCCAGATGCCTGCTTGCACCTCCCCAGAGGATCCAGCTTTTGACCCTGTCGGTGATTAAACCGGTAAAACACTGGGCAGCATCGTGCGCTCAGATGAAGTCATTATTCGTAGGCTATGAATGCTGTTGTCAGTTGGTAACCCTGGCTTCTCACGCTAGGGCCAGTTAATTCCTAAGTTGTATGTCACATGCAAAACGAGCCAATGCACGACTTAAGCCTGCCCACGAGTCGGCCCTTTATTCGGGTGAATGCTGAAGTGTTCATGTGCTGTGGGGCCAATTCTCTCGCAGCTGATCTGGTCATTTGAAATGGACACGTGTGATAAGAAATAAAAACGAACATACTAATGGCGACAAGGCCCAATGTCGGTGACCACTTAGTGCCGTGATGATCAACACAAGGTATCGCTCCTGTACACCACAGGCCCGTATATCCGCCCTGTGTTTAATTCATGTTATCGGCCACATGGAGTTACAGTTTTCGCCACGACAGGCCGCTGCCGTGGCGCGCGTCTGGCGCGGCGTCCCCAGCGGCGGCAGCGACGGGGCGCGGGCGGCACCGCCGGCGCCTGTGAGCCGACGACGGGTGCGTGACTAGCACTGACCGGCGGGCATGTGGGCGCGCCCCTCGGCGACACGGGACTGCGCGGCGCCGCGCCCGTCGACTCCGGCAGCACCCTGGAAACACGGCGCCGTCCGGTTAGCGGCCGCCACGGGACCTCTTGGGACTAGGACGGCACCGGGACAGGCCGGTGCGCCGCTTGGGGGGGGAGGGGGGATGACATCCGGTCTTCGGGTAGGTCCGATAAGTGTGTGAACAAATGCACGCGTCACGGATGTTTTTGCAACCCGTCACAGGATGGCATCCCCTTTCACGGCAACGTGCGATGAAACGGTACGCTTCTGACGTACGGCGCCTTGATGTCTGACGACGTCGGCACCGATGAACTATTAGAGTAGTCCGTCTTGCAACGACTCTCAGTTTGTGGCTGCCATGCTCAGCCTTGGGGCATTCTCTGACGGCACGAAGTGAGTTGAGGGCTGAATGAACGGTCAGGGAAGGTTGAGTTAGGAGTTATAGCTGACAAACAATTGGGACCAAATGCGATTCGTGCCGCAGCTCCTTTCGCACGTCATGGATTTAAGCCTATATGGGGTTAAGGTGAATGCTGTTTCTCAGAGATCAAGAAGCCGTAAGTGCTTCCAAACGACACCATGTTGCCATATCCGTAGTGCATGCTATCTACACGGCGAGGTTCTCTTGAAGTCTGAAACGCTGTGACGTCACCTGGCTGCCAGGCCTGAATCCCGCTTCAAAGGGTTAGCAGTCTCCCCAAGTTTGGCTGTGCCGGCGTGGTTGATTTCCCGTGGGTGTCGCCGGCCGAGCCAGTCGGGGCTCCGCTGTCGCTCCCCCCCCCCCCCCCCGCAGACGGGCCTCGCTCGCACCGGCGTCGTCGCCCGACGCCGGTGCATACCAATGAGCCGCCGTCAGCCGGAGACGGCCGCGCTAAATGGCCCGTGAAGCCCGCCCGGGGCCCTTGCGCGTGTGAAACGGCCGCCGGTGAAAAACGAAAGCGGCGCGCACTGGGGACGGCGGACGTCCAGGTTTTTTGGACAAATCAGCTGGCGCGCGCGCGGCCGTCGGCTAATTGGCGGGTTTCTCCGCGTCATGTGGCGCGCGCGGCCGGCGCTGACTGACTGGCGTCGGCCGGTGGCTGACTGACACTCACTTGTCGCGGCACTTGAAGTTGACGTCTCGCCGCGCGCCCGGCTGGCAGGCGTTCAGCAGCGGCACGCGCGCCGCGATCTGCCGTCGGTAGCGCCGTCGCCGTCGGCGGCGCTGGCGCGGCGGCAACGCCACCTGGTCGGAGCTGACGCGCTCGCTGTCGACGAACGTCACCTGGTCGATGTCCAGCCGGGACCAGGGCGTGAGCAGCGGCGTCGGCGGCGGCCGGCGGCGGCGCGCCGGCCGCCGCCGACGCCGGCCCAGTCCCAGCCACTGAGCCAGCGTGCTGGTGCCGGCCGGGCTGCGCGGCGCGGCGCCCTGGCGGCGCGCGTACTGCGTCCGCTGGCCGGGCGGCGGCAGGTAGGTGTCGTGCAGCGTCGGAACGGTGGGCGGAGGCGCCGCCGCTGTCACCGCCGCCGCCGCCACCTCGCGCTCGGCCTCGGCCGTCGGCGCTGGCGGCGCGCGGCCGCTGGACGCCGTCAGCTCGCTGGCCGGGAAGCACTTGGGCTCGAGCACGGTCGTGTCGAACGCCAGCAGGAAGTTGTAGTCTCCGCACGGCTGGAAACAAATGCCGGGTCGGACGCTGTTGGTGCGGGGCGCTGTATTGGTCGGTAATGGCCTGGAGCGGCTGTGGCGCCGTGCAGGTCCAGGTGCTGCCTGCTGCGCTGGTTTGAAGAGGGATGCCCCAAAGCCAGCGACGCAAACGTCGACATCACACGTTTTCTATGGGCGCGCCTCGCACCCGCGAACGCTGACACCCGACGTTTTCTGTAGGCGCTGTTCACACCCGACGCAGCATCGATGCTTAGCGTGGTCGTGATGCCATTGTGTAATGCGGAATGGCATTGCACAGTGATGCGTCACAGTGTGCAAACTGAGGTTCGACGCGCTATCCTGAAGGCTCAGTGACGAACCAAAGGCAAGAAAACACCCGAGACCCGCCGCACTAGCCGTCCGATGCCGGTGCGCCTCTTAAAGCCCAGACCAACAACGGCCCTCGTGCGGCGTCCATCGCGCCGTGAGCCCGTTACTCACGTCTCCGAAGTTTTTGCACCAGCCGTCGAAGAGGACGGGCTTGTCGCGCGGACAGCGCGAGGGCGCGCACTGCAGCCGGAAGGCGACGTTGAAGCGCAGCTGCTGGCTGTAGAGGCACACCTGGCTGCTGTAGACGGGCCGGCACGTGCCGAACGTGTCCAGGTACTGGCCGTCCGGACAGCCGCAGCGCGGCTCGCCGTACGCCGTCAGGTACACGCGCCGCGCGTCTGGGGACGTGGCCGGCGCGCGCCACGTCAGCCAGTGGCGCGCACGCCGCTGCACCTCCGCCGTTGGCGTTTGGTCACACGCATGTCAGGCTCACGGGGCATACGGCCGCGGGCGCTGCTGGCCGGCGGCGTGGGAACGGGCGTGGTGGCCGGGAGGTGCGGCGGGAGCGCCTCCGAGACCCATGTGGAGGCTCGGGACCCCGGTGGCCCCACGGCCGCCGGTCGCCGTCATGATCACCGTGGCGCTCCGTGAAAGGGCGCGCGGCGACGTGCGCGGCGTGTCAATAGGTGCGGGGGGCGCGCGCTCGCCGCGAGCCGCGGGCCCGCGGCGGCGCGGCGTCGACTTACCTGGACACAGGCCCGGCTCGTACACGTCGTGGCACAGGCCGTCGGCTTCGACGAAGGCGTACCCGTCCGGGCAGAGCTGGGTGGCGCACTCGCCCTGCGGCAGACGGGCGGGCGGAGCGTGGGTACCGGGCGGTGCCGGCTCAGGCCGGGCACGACGGCGGGGGACCGCAGACCAGGCCGGCGGTCCTGCGGCCCGGCCGTCGGCAACACATTCGGGTCAGCCGGATGCAAATGACTGGCGCTCCCGGACAGCTGTCGTTCAAGAGGGCTTCCGCGCCATCAGCGCCTCCGGCTGCTTGCGCAATGCCGTGCAAAAGTCGGGCGGAAAAGAAACGCGACGCGGCGTCCACTGCGGGAAGAAAGCCGCGCGGCGTGCTCTGGTTGCCGGCCTGAGGTCCCGCCGGTCTGTGGCGCGAGGCGGCGGCGGCGCCGCACCGGGTGTCACCTACCCTGCGCGTGTACATGTTGACGACCACCCACTGGCCGAGCGGGCAGTAGCCCTGCTCCAGGATGCGCTGACACGGCTGGTGCTGGTGGTAGGAGCGGTGTGTCGTCATCAGGCGCACCTCGTCGCGCGCGCAGCCGTCGTCTGGGTAGTCTTGACCTGAAACAGTGGCGCGTGCGCTCGGTCAGCCGCTGCAATTTGGAGGCGGTGTCAGCCCCGCTGGCCGGCCGCGGTGCCGCCGGCGCCGGCCTGGCGCGCCCGTCGGCTCCAGCGCAACATTCCGGATCGCGCATGCCATCGCGGAGAAACGCATCGGACGTGCTGTCTCGGCGTCGCGCCGCCTGACGGCGCCGTTGCAACACGACCGGCGGCGGCGGCCGTGGCTGACCGCTGACGCACAGACAAACGGGGCGCGCCCGGCGGCCCCCTCTGGCGGCCCGCCAAACCCGTTGCGGTGCCGCTGCGGTAAGCGGCTCGGGCCGTTGCGTCAGGGACGCGCGCGCGCCCGCCGTGCGCGACGCGCTCTGCCGGCTGTCCGGTGCAGCCGTGGTCGGCCCGGGCGGCTCTCGTCTCCCGCCGGCCTGTCCCCCAGGCCCCTGCCGGGCCGGCCGGGACCCGGACGGCCAGTTATCGGTGATGAGAGTGACCGGGAGTGGAGAGCGGCCGCCTCTGTGGGCCGCCGATAAGAAGAAACCTCTTAATTATTCATGTGCCGTCGTCGCCGAGCAGGCTCAGATAAAGGGATATACTTGTAACTCGGCTGATGAACGCGATTGAGGACAGCGATCGGTTTAAGCGCCGGCCACCGGATAACCGGGCGGCCGGGCCGTGCGCCGAGTTCCGTGCGCGCATTTGGGGCAGTCGTCCTCTTTTTGGGCGATCCGTCGCCGCTGTCGGCCGGCCGGAGAAACTGCCATATGTCGATTGTCCTCTTTTTGTCGGGCGAAAAGGGTCGGCGGGCCGTCCTCCCAGAGGGAGACATCTGCCGTGGCGATTGGGGAATTTAGGCGGCGCGGCAGGAGGCTGCGTTCTCGCTGTCTTGCTGCCGGCTGCCGGTGCTGCCGTGCGCAGCGGCGGCGGCGGCGGCGTCCGGCTCAGCGTCGCCGACCATCGTCAGGTGTGGCGGTGACATTTCCCCGCCGCGGCGCGGCGGCGGCACCCCGAACGCCTCCGGCGAGCGCCGGCTGACCGCCTCCGGGCGAGCTGTCTGCTGGCGTCTGCCGCGCCGCACGGGGCGCGCCCGGAGCCGGCGGTCGGCAGGGAGCCGCGGGGACCGCGTCCCGTCCGCCGGCGCGGTTATCCGGCAGCGGTGCGTGGGCTCGGCGCGGTCCGTGTGCGGTCTCACACGCTCATCTGCGGGCGGGCGGACCGGCGCCAGCGTCGGCCGCGCTGTTGACGAGCGCAGGCCGGCGCGAGGCGGGCCGCCCGGGGCGGCGGAGGCCGGACTCGGCGCGGTACCGTCTGCACCTGCACCCGGCGTTCACCCGGCGACAGCCCTGAGAGCGGGTGAAACGGCCGGCGCGGCGGCGCTGGGAGTGTTCCGGCTCTCACCGGGCGGCGTCGGTGCCGGCTGCCTCGCCGACGTCCGTGTCCGGCCGAGCGCTGCCCAGCACCGCCCAGCGCCGCCGTCCCCGGCCGCCGCCGCCCCGCGCTCCGCGACAGAGCCGATCGGCGGGCGCTGCTTGTGAAACGACTGACGGACACGAGGCAGAACCGGGCCGTTGCGATAGCGCGCCGGCACGATCGCGAGTCACGCCGCGCGCCCTTGGCGCTCGCAGAGGAGCCCGCGCCCAATAGACCGTTGGCAGCTAATTAATGAATCGCGCAACGACGCCTCAGCGAATGAATATCCGCCACTGTCGGCGGTTATTCTCGCCGTCCGCGCGTGCTCTCTGCACGATTTGCTGCTAATCTGGCGCGCGACTTTAGAATGGTTTGTGCAGTATAGCGTGCGCCAGCGACCTTCCGCGGTGGACTTGCACTGTAATGTCCAAATCCGGTGGGAAAATGACTGTGAGGGAAAGTTGCAGCCCGAGGTGTCAACACGAGCGCTGAACAGCCGTTCATGTGTGGAGAACGAGCAGCGAGGGCTACTGATTTTGCAGCGGGCGTGCCGTTGTGTTTACAGCTTATTCATTGTCGGTCATGGGGTCACGGCACTCCGAAAGTGCTGGGCTAACTGCCTCAGTCTGGTGTGTTATGCAAATTAATTAATGAGATGATGAGCCCCAGATCGGCTGGTTGGAACGGGGCCCGACACGGTTTGTGGTCTACTTTATTTCGCGGCGTGCGCAGCAGATTGGCCGCCGCTGTCCAAGGTGCTGCAAGTGCTTCAGAACGGGACATGTGCTGAAAGCAGGGTCTAATCGGTAGTGACTTGGTCATACCGCTGAGCAGCACTGGGCCTCAGCTGTTATCCAGACTTTTTACGGATGTTTTCAAGTTGATTTTTCACTCCTGGAGGTGCCGCCCGGGTCTAGTTTCATGAATAGAAACTGCGAACATACTGGTTTCTAGCTTGTCTAGGGTAGGCGTGTGGGCCGGAAGTAAGCCGATTTTCTGCTTAATCTCCGACTATTTAAATGAGTGATAAACAGGACATGCCGGTCTGACCAAGTTGCTTTTTGGTTCACGACTCCATTCTACACAAATGAAATGCGCGTGGATTGGCACCTCCGCTTTATGAAACTAGGCATCGGTTTCATTTTAGCAGGGCCCTTAGCACACGTGCCGCGGAAAGGCGACGAAAATCGGCCGCGTCGTCATGCCACAACAGGAGGCCAGGTCGTGGGGCCGCGTCACAACGCAGGCGGAGGCTGCGGGAACGGTGTCGGCGGGGCGTCCGAGTCGGGCCGGCGCGGCGGGCTGCTGCAGGCCGGGCACGCGCGGCGCGACGGCGTCCGCCGCCGGCCGACTGACCGGCCGACGGTCGCCGTCAAACAAAGAGAAACTCTGTGTGCCATTACGCCCGGTGACTTGCAGCCGTTGCAGCGGCCGAGGCGGCGTCGGGCGCCGGCGCCGGCGCCAGTGACCTCCGTGCGCGGCCGGACGCGGGAGGGAGTGGTGGGCCCGGCCACCCTCACCGAGCCCGCCCGCCTGCCGGCCGGGCTGCACGTGCACACACGGAACCG